CGTGATGTCCCGTGTCGGCCGATTAACGCGCGCGACCATTTGCAGATTCGACCGCGAAAGTGCACGCGCGGTTCGCCAAAGCGCAGAGTGCATCATGTGCATCCGCGCGCGCTTGCGCGCGTACTCGCGTAATTGAGGGATGCAATTCGTGGAAATTCAGCAGTAACGGATTCGTTTAACGAGGAAAGATGACGAATTACTCGCAACATTATTCATTCATCGGCTTATGAAAGGTATATATATATATATATATATATATATATATATATATATATATATATATAGTATATATACAGACATCTTCGTATGATTAAAAATAACGTGCGATTACAATGTGAAATTAATTTGAAGCTCTCGACCTCTTTCTCGATTCGCGATGAAATTCGAAATCGAAAATAATTTCGAAAATTTTTCCCATTTGAACGAAATTGTCGAAAAACAAAGGCAGAATTTTATCGTTAAAAGCTTTTCTATTTCGATTTGTTGTTACGACGATCCAAATAATATCGGGTTAATGTAATTAGATTCCCGAGAATTTCTCGTTTACTTTAGCATCCACGCGCATTACGTACATAAATCGGATCACGATCAGGCCGTGATTAAATTACTGCGTTATTACTTCGACATTTGCGACACGTAGATGCTTCGACGATAATAACGATTATTGTAACGAGATCGACGCGATCGTTGTCAATACCATCTGTCTATTAATCGCAGTTTAACTTGTCACTTGTATATATCGTGATCAAAATATTGCACGCGAGCAATGCGGGCATATGCGTGTTTCACATTTTTGTTATATATATCTACGTATATATCCACCATTTATACGAAGAGCAAATTTTATAAATTTTTTTTTGAGGCCGCGTGTACGTGATTACGAACGTGAAATTGAAATTCTCGCGAAGCACTAACGAACTAAAATGTGAAAACTGAAAACCGGGGAGAGAGGAATATTTTCGCGAATTATTATTATTTTTTTTTTTCGGCCAAAATATTCTCGCGCGCGCAATTTTTCATTTACGCGTCGTTACTTTTGACAGGATCGCGCGTGTATAATCTCCCTTTCTGTCTCCTTATTTACATCTTATTTCGAAAATGAGGGTGCGAAATATCATGAGACATACATATTATATATGTATACATGTATGTCGTCGTCATATCTCGAGTCGGCCTCGAGTGCCGACACATCGCTCGGCGAGGTACATGTAGCGGATAATGGAAACGTCACTATCTCTCTCTCACTCTCTCTCTCTGAACGCCATAGTGTTCTGTTATCTTGCGCAAACATTATCTCTGCTAATTCCACATGCGACGAATAATGGCATTCGGCAGCGTCTGATAAGATGATCGAAATGATTAGCGAAAAAAAAGAGCGAGAATCGCGCTATTTATTGCGGCGATTATACGGGTAATTATGGATCACACGTGACGTGCCACCGTAAAGTGCACTTTCCGTGTTCGTTCTTTAACGGGATACCTATCTAATTTAATGCGACGCCATCAAAGCTAAGGTGCGAACATTCCACGTTATTTTTCGTACCGATTAGTCTGAGCGATATTCATTCGAACCTGCCATCATCTTAATTGAAGAGGCAAGTGTTCAAAGGTGATGCGACGCGCATATGCGATGAGAATATCACGTGCATAGTTTAATTGATTCTTTTGATTTTATGCGCGATTCAATTAACGTCCCGTGAGAAATATACTTTTTTGTCGGATATAGAAAAACACCAAAGCTCGTAAACTGGTAAAATTTTTTAACGTTTAATAAAAATAGAGGAAATATGTATATATGTATATACACGCAGTGATAGAGATCATTTTTGAGGGCTTGTCGCAAGAAATTATTCATTATTCTTTATTTGAAAATATAGAAAATATGCGTTGGTTGGAGGAGAAAAAAAAACAACATAATTTGCAAAACGGCGATTATTCCAAATAGAGACTCGTAAAATCAAGCGGTCAGTGTAACTGTGCGGTGGTTTTAGATAACTATGATTTATTACTCTACCTTTTGCTCGAAGCCACTATTATTCATGTAACACGAAATGTGTATATTCGCGCAAAAACATATTGCGAAGGAGAGTGAGATTTGTTGTTACGAATTCTCTGATTAACAATTTTAACGATTATTTATTTTTATTTTTATATATATTTTTGTTCACATTAATTGTTAATTTTATATATATATATATATATATATATATAATTCTTTTTTTAATGTTATAGAAATAGAGAGAAACACATACAGTATTTTTCCATACGTTTTTTTACGCGACATATTTTAGTGAAATTTATCGATATACATATGTATGAGAAACTGTGATACAAAATATTGTATCGATGCTAAATCAAGCCTCTTTATTTCAGGCTTTTTCCAATACTCGTTCAACTACAGGATTTTAATAGCTATGGTTATAATTTTAAGCAATATTTATTCTCGGTGTGCTAAAATTAAAATGGATAACCGAATATCCATTATTTTTGTTTTCTCTAACGATAAGTAAGTAGTTGCTTCTAGTAGATTTCTGTAAAATTACATCGTAACAACTCCGTTCGTTGTAAAAGCAGGTTCCTCGTTCTCCTCTTTTAAAAGCAACTTTACCTTTTTTTGCCGTCCAAAGTGGTACTTCGAAAAATGGACACTCCCTGGTTAAGTTCTTCCTGGAATGTTGAAATTTTTCCGAGAGAGCAAGAAGAGTCGCGCGCGAGAAGGACTTGTTGCTCTCACTTTTCCTCCCTCGACGATATATTATAGACGCAAAGTCGATACCGCCAATTAACTCGCAAGACTGTTCACCGATTATGTTATGAGACGGTCCGTGTATCGAGCTGGCTGGCGGTTCTATATGTAACCAACGTGCTACCATATAACAGACTATGTACATACCTATGGTCAACCTCGCCAGGTAATGGCAAATGTCACTCGGTCCGCTACTCCGATTCTCGGACGGGAAACGTTATCGCTTGTAATTCTGCCAGGGAAATAGCATAATGCGATTTGACTGTCTAGTTTAATGTGCATGTGAAATAGAGGCTGTTCCGAGATTAAGTTTTACGCTGAAAAAACCTTACCCCTTCTCGATGAAACTTAGAATATGCAGGATGTATTTAAATTAACACTTTTCTAAAGAGGGAGGTAAAAATTAAGTTATTTTTTTCTCAAATTTCAGACAAATTTAAAAAAATGAAACTTGCTGGATATTTTCTGTTTCATTTTTTCAACTTTCCAGAAAATTGAGAAAAAAATAAAAACTTAATTTTTACTTCTCTCTTTAGAAAAGTGTAACTCTTCAGGGAGGGATATAGGAGTATATGTCTATATAAGAAACTTTCTTCATTTTTAAGACAAAAATAATCTAAAATTTTTTACATTTATTTAGGTACACCCTGCATAATAAATATATACATGTATATATATAAGAATTCCTTTTATTTGATTCGAAAACACACCCTTGCACGTAATCTCGCTCGACGAAAGCTTTGGGAACTAAAACAGCAGCTCTCTTTCGACTTGTGCTTATTTCTCTCTAAATATTCATTACTTTATTGTTCCGTTATACCGTTGAATATTTATTACTTAGATCCACATTTTGCAAGGTAAGAGAGAGAGAGAGAGAGAGAGAGAGAGAGAGAGAGAGAGAGAGAGAGAGAGAGAGTAATTTAACAATCAAATACTCTCTTCGCGAATGGTTTCAACTTAAATCATAATTTTCCAGAAACTAATTTCAAGCAAAACTTTGCTACTCTCTTCAAGTACTAACATATATGTATATATAAATTATATATAATATTTTACCTTTATATATATTATATATAAAGTAAATAATAATTAACAAATATATGTGTGTGTGTATATATATATGTATTTGTTAATTATTATTTTACCTTTTAAAACAGATATAACAACTTAATATACAGTGTAATATCGATATGCATATAACAGTATCACAACGATCCGTCTGCGAATTTGGCAACTGCTATTCTCGGGTTATTTCGCATCGTTTTGCCCCAATTTAATTAAACTTTTCGATCGAATCTACGATCGGAGTCGTTACTTAATTTTATTTAAGCATAACAATTCGCCGTAAATAGATAATCGAATTTTGTCCGTCAGAAACAAACGCAACGGGATTTGTAATCCAACGAAAAATTACAAAATGCTACATTACAAAAAAAAAAAACATGTCAAAACTACGGGGCGAAATTTAACGCCGACATGATGGCGTGTCTCTCATCTGTCGCTGTAACGTCAGCCGGTAGAGAGCTTGTTGGGATTTTATTTTTAACTTGCAGTCGCAAACGATACCTGTTATTGGATCGCGCAGGCCGAGATATTCCAACGGAATATAATCCGCTTAATGCGGTTATCTATCTATTCATCTATCCGTTGGTTGATTCGCTTATCGTGTCACTCCTGAAACCATTAATACAGATACGCTTATAGTCGCGTATATAGTAAATTGAAACAGCGCCATTGTGTAAAATCTGTCCGTTCTGTACTGCTGTAACGATCATTAATTGGATATTGGTGTAATATTAATTGGGGCTTTTCGTACAATTGTTAAAATTAGGTTACCCATCTATCGAATATGCACGTACAAACATTTAATATGATGAGTAACGTATATACACGCGGACTTTTAATATTATTTATTTATTAATACGTTAAAAAGTCAAACAACGCGTCGCGTTTTAATTTAAATAAAAAATAACTTTTATGGAGAAAAAAAATTACAATTGAAAACTGTAATGGCTCAACTCTCATATACTCGACTGTATATTTTGAACAAGAGTTCCACGCTAAAGCCACAAATGAGCAATTAATTAAGCGTCCCGGCGTGACGCGAGATTAATCCGTCTAATCGCAAGTCTAATAGTCGCCGAGTCGAACTCGAACGTTTATTCTCTCTCATCGATTCGTCTCTCGATTGGGCGGCAGAGAGAGAGAGAGAGACTCAATCAATAATGACCGTTTTCCTCTTCTGTGCTTGCAGGTTGCCCAGGAAGCGAGCGGCTCTGCTGGCGATTTGTCTTCTGGCCACTTGTACCGGTGAGTCTGTCTTTTACTGTTCTTCCCGAATTTATTCAGTCTTATGTTGCGGGGGATTTCAGGGATAGGAGCGACATGTTCCGTTTCGCGTTTCCCCACGAAACACGTGCACGACTCTCCATAACCGCGCCCCAGACGACGTTTTCCTCGTCGCTGAGGAGAATTTTATTTGATTTCTGTTAGGCCGTTTCATACCGTCCCGTCGACTTATACCGCTCTTTCTCTTTCCCGTTTTATAGTGCTCGCGCGTGTTTGAATTCTGAAGGCTGGATGTGACTACCGAAAAAGGTTTGCGCGGATATTCGAAAAAATATCGCGATATTTTGAGAAATGCAGATTATTTTCTATGATACATATTTGCATACTAATTATATGTATTAAACTTTATTAACATGATGAAGGAAAAGAAAAGTTATCAAAAATCATTATTTACATTCTATATTTTATAATACTTTCGAAAAGATAGTCTATAATAATTTATACAGAAATATGTTCGAAATCATTCTTAAAATGTTTGAGCCAAAAAGCGACTGTTAAAATATGTCATTGTCGTAAATGAGAGCTCGGCGATGGATACTCTAACAACCAGGGGTGTGCAGGGACGAAGGGAAGGCGTTTTTCCTTCTTCCGGTAGGGAACAGGAAGCTTCTAGCGAGCTTTTGCCTCCACTTCGTGTTCGTTTCTCTTTCTCTCGTTTCCATCCGCTCTCGCTTTTTCCTCTTTCCGTCTTCCTTCTCATCTCCGTATCTCGGCGAAGCCGAGAAATGGTTTCTCGTGAAGGAAGCTTTTCCCTCTAACGTGTCTCTTCATCCTTCTCCAACGTCATTCTTCTCTTTTCACCGGGTTACAAATATATATTGCAACTAACGCTGATTGCGGAGTAATGCAGCAAAGTGACGCGTGTTTATTTCGCCAGCCTCCTCGAGAGAGTTTTGACATTTCTATATTTCGCCGTCATCTTCAGTTTATTTGCTAAATTTCTGGATATTACATTTTCGCTTTATCACGTGTTGCGCGCTTTCTTCTTAATTTTTTTCCATTTCGCCTCCTTTTTTTCTCTTTACTAGACGTCTGTTCGCACAAGCGTTCGTTGAAGCGAATACGGAATAATTATTTCCACTTACCATCTCGCTACATTCCATACCTTGTATATGCATTGGTTCAGCGCTCTTAAGAAACGTGGTTTTATATTCAGTACAACACAAATGATTCTTTCTTTTCTCATTTTCAAGATATAATTCACTCAGTGTTCGTTCCCTCACTCATTCACTCACTTTCTCCATTCCTCTAACACAGTTTTCCCCTTTTGTTACTTTTTTCCCCCTTTTTTCCTTCTCTCAACATTTTACCTCTTTCTCGCTTTTTCTCTTTTCTTCTCTCCATATTTTTTTCCCACCCTTCCTCTTTCTACTTCCTTCCTCTTTTTCTCTTCATTTAACGCGCGCTACTTGCCGTAAATCTGTTGTTGCGTACTCCGGTCTCTCACGGTTTTCGTTCATTCTCGGTTACAGTGGTCGGGTATTTATCATTCTCGCGTTCCGCGTTTGCATTTTTTGAAGCGTTGTTTCTACCCCCTTATTAACAGCTGCCGTTCGCAATCGTTGCCACGTTGGCAATCTGCGAGTTCGTCAACGGCCGGGCTTCCTCTCGCGCGAGAGCTTGCGCGGAGAGTCGCTCGATAATTTATGCTAAACCAGTTTGTAGAGAGGAGCACGGCCGAGCGTGCCGAAGTGAGATACGTCGTTCGCCAAGAATTATCTTTCCGGCATATATATATATATATGTATATTTATATATATACAGGGTGTCCCAGATTTACCGTATCACACGTTAATGGGAGATTTCTGAGGCGATTTGGAGACAATTTTTCCTCAACGGAAATGTCCAGGCACTAATAATTTTCGAGTTATAAACGATTAAAAATAAAAGCTTTTTTGGAAACTAAGCCTTGTAAAAATAAATTATTAACAAAACTACATTTTTTAATTAATTTCAGGTAAAGTTTATTTTAATAGAATTTTAATTTAAGGTTTAGTTACAAAGATATACATGATTTCAAAAATTGGGAACATTAAAAAAATGATGACCTTTCTCGATATTTTTGCTGAGGAAAAATCTTCTCCAAATCGCCTCAGGAATCTCGCATTAACGTGTGATACGGTAATTCTGGGACACCCTGTGTATATATATATATAATGTATATAGAATCTTGTATGCTGAAACACACTTCTCTCGCTCTCTCTCTTCGCGTTCAAACTCTTTCCTTTATATACACGTATTAAAATGTTCGATCGATAATTTCCGCGACGCAGCTTCGAAGAAATTTCGAGCACGTGTCGATGTGCGTCCGAGATCTCGAGGGAGCGATTTTAAAAATAAGACTGGCAGACATTATCGGAAAACAATAATATTCCAATTATTGGAAATTGTGTCGCGGTTGTCTGTGCGGCAAAAAATTCTGGCGGATTAATATACAGCTGTTTTATTTGTAATTAATATATATATGTTTCTGTAATTGCGATATCTTAAGGAGAATAACTTAAAAAACTTGAATTTTTCGATACATTATTAATCTATCTATCTCTTTATAAACATGATTATTTATTCGTACCAAAATATCGACGAAATTATGTTTGCTTAAAAAAAAATAAAAAAAAAACCTAGATTTATTATCCTTTCTCCCTCTCGCGAAAAAAGTAGGTGAAGCCAAGCCCACCCTTGGCCCGGCTCTCTTCTCGCATGATCTCCTCTTTTCGGGGTGTTCCGCAGTTTCCACATCGCCGCTCAAGAAGATCATTGACTGCTGGGGCGAATCGCGAGCAGCAGTAGTAGGTATGTACTTCGGAATTCGACCGGTCGGTGCACTGTCGATGGGATGGCGGTTGCACGATTGATCACTCGACGGGGTAACGTTTGAGCAGTTACAAATACACGTGATCAATCGTGTCCTAATGGCGCGCTCGAGTGCATCGCGTGCAACGGAGAGGACCAGTGGTGGTGGCAAGCAACGTAACTGCACGGCAAACCTCATGCGCCGAAAGTATTTGCCCGAGTGCATTAATCATTCATCGTGTTTGTTCGATGCACTCCGGAGACGAGACGCGTTCGATCGAGTTCGATTATTTGTGGACGCGTTATCCTCTTTTTTGGGGGTTTCGAGAGCTGACGTTAATTCCGAAAGCTCCGCCTTCGAATAATTCATACCCGATCTACGATATAAACGGGATAAAGTTATGACTTTTTTATTTATAAAAAACCACTCCTCAATGTTTAAAGTCGACCAGACTGGCAATAATTTATTATAAATAATTATTTGAAATACAACGTTTCGGCTGTCATTGCAGCCCTTTTCAAGTACATCTATAAAAAGTTCACTCAAAATAATTATAATTTAATACACTTATTCGCAACAATTAATAATATATTTAAAAACAAAAATGTGTTACATACCAAATTTAAAACAGTAAATCAACTTCTATGCAAACTACCGACAATGTTAACGCTTGTTTTGATGAACAATGTAAGACTGACAGAAGTAAAAGCACATATTAAATAGATGTTAACTGTTCACAAGAATCTTAGTCACTAAGCGTTAAGAAGATAGAGACGAAACTAAATGTGTCTTTCGTAATTTAAATCGTCATAATAAAGTCAAATAAATAAAAATAAATAAATAGGTGGATATAAAAATAAAAATAAAATTAAAAGTAAAAATAAATATAAAACGACTTAAATAACGTCAAGAACACGATCATAAATCCCACTGAAATTCTCCGTATCTTTCTGTAAATTAATACTTTTTCCTTGTTTTTTTATGTAAAACATTTCTGCAATTTCTCTTTTTCTTGTCTGTTTTTCCTCATGCAGAATCACCGGAGAATCCCAACGGAACTCATGATCGTTGCAAGTCCGATGTAAACTAACGACAGAATGCAATGTCTTGTCTTTTTTTATGTTATTTCTATGTTCTTTAACGCGCGTTTCTAAATGTCTCTTTGTCTGTCCTATATAAGCCGAATCGCAATTCGCACAATCAATTTTATAAACAACATCAGTTTTTTTTAAGTTTTCGATCCCATCTTTACCTCTTTTTATCAACGTGTCCAATTTTTTTGGGACAGTATACAAAGCATCAATACCACTTTTATTGATGCAACGCGTAATATTCTCGCTAAGATCTTTAATGTAAGGTAACACAATGCAATTTCGCGTATCAAATTTATTTCGATTGGGCGAGTTAAGATTACCGCCAAATTTAATCGCTCGAAGTCTTTTATTGATGTTTTTGTTAATAATTGTTAACGGGTAACAATGTATTTCAAATAATTATTTATAATAAATTATTGCCAGTCTGGTCGACTTTAAACATTGAGGAGTGGTTTTTTATTAATTATTACTGGCAACCTTAAGGATTATTATTATTTTTTTTTTTATGACTTTATTTTTCTCAAAAAAAAAAAAAAAAAGGAATGCAGCGATTTATATCCTTGTCGATTACATCGACGATGATGAATGTAGAACTTGACATATGATTGATCTTAAACCGGTTATGGAATTTATTTATCACACGCAATAATTTGCGATGAAGGCATCTGAGCACTATTTGAAATTAAACATTGATAAAATGTATAGGGATGAAAAGAAATTAAATCTTATTGTCTTGGTTGCAAAATCGAACATCTTCAGGATTTCTAGCGGTCAGGGAAATCTGGAAAACCGGGCATTGTCAGAGAATTTTATAAATCTAGAATTGTCAGGAAATTTTACTATTTATCTGGATTTTTTCACATTATTCTACATTTGTTTCAATAATTTGAAATTTTTTATTAAATAAATATAAACTTTTCCTTGACTTTCAGCATACTAATTTTCTGTGTTGTTAAAAATCGATTCGTTAATTTATATTTTCATCGTCGTGTTATTTTATTTCAATGTGCTTAATAGCGACAAAACTAAAAAATTGGATATAATATAAATCAAAAAGTTGATTATTTAAATAG